GTGTAGTAACTTGTTAGTATAACCGCCAAGATTCACACAACATAATGCGGCACTTGCCAGGAGTACAGCCAACTCACCACTGCTGCTACAAGTTTATGTTATTGTGGAACACACAATCAAATTGTTAAAATGTCACAACCTAAATAAGGTGCAATACAGCAGCCACAGACAAATGCAATACCATGCAGTCTAGTTCATGAACCCTGAAAGAAAGTGTGAGGCATTTAATGTTGGGCATGAAAGCTTAAATACAAAAATGTGTGCTTTTGTTGTGTTGGAGGATGATCATTAGTTAAAAAGCAAAACACGCCTGTGCAATTTAGTATGCTTCTCTGTCTAGTATAAGTCTCTGTTAAAGCTGAATAATGTTTTTTCTGAATTCACAGAGTTTGCTTGAAGGATCACAAACAGGTTATCAGTGTGCTGGTGAATGATTGCCCTTATTGAGTAAACACATCTTAAAGCCATAGAGGGTGAAGTTTAAGGGAAAGCGGTGCAAATGTATTTTCTGCAACAAAGTAACAATTAGCAATAACTACAGCAGAAAAATGTGTATGTAATGCACATACAATTTTCCATGGTTTTCTGAAGGGACTATACTTGGGTATCATCCCACTGCCATGTGCTTCCTGAAGCCAGAACATCCAAATCTGGGCAATGTGGATGGAACCTGGGTGGAACTGTGGTTGCATGGGCCTAATGCAAAGACAAAGGCAGTTAGTCAGTTAAGATGAACACACCGTCAAAATACATACAGTATATCTCTACAAACGCACACTTATAGGAAGAATTGAAATTAACTATTGAGACACTAAATGCCTTTAGAGGACACTTTGAGGACCTTGTGTGTTTCAGTAAGGAGTTAATGGTTTTTAAGTCATCTTCAATTCAATTTCTTTCTTTCTTTTTTTTTCTTATTTTTATTTTTTGCAGAGAAAACATGGTCTTCAACTATAAGGAAAGTGCCAAAATTCAGAACTGCAAAAATAAAATCTAAGTAAGATGAAGTATCTTAAATCAAGGTAATAAATTCTCATTCTTTGTTTGACAAGATATTGCTTCTTGCCAGGCAGTTATTAATGTTAGAACATTTCACTTGTTTCAAGCTTTTGTCCTTGATTATCATAATATGGTATTATAAGTTGTTACTGAAATTTTAATGCTGAGTAACTTAATGCTTGAAATTAGAATGACCAGAATTATAAAGCTGTTTGATCAACACTGACAAGTACAGATTTGCTTTGTGTCAGATAAATGTGCTTCTTTTTATTCTAGCTGCACTAGTTTTAAGATCTCTACGGGTTCTTGAGACTAGATATTTTACCTGTTTCTAAAAATCTTGGCAGATGAGATTTTCCTGTTGTGTTGGCAGATAATTTAGCTTATTTTAAGTACTATTGCTTCCATTTCATTACTTTTAGACTACTGAGAAATCACAGCAGAGATGCACAAGTGCAGCAATTTTCAGCAGGCTGAAGATTTTTCTCTACCTCCTAACCAGGCTCATCAAATAAATAGCCTAGCTCAGCGAATGGGTGGCTCGACTCGGAGAGTGATGCCAGCCTCTCATTTACTACCACCGGCCTGTCACTAACCAAATCTGTTGCCGGCCTAAAAAGTAGGCTCCTGCTATTTCTCAATATTCATAGTTTTGACACTTTCACTCACCATATTCAACAGCCTGGGTGGTTGCTGTTAGTAATTAAAGCCACTTAAAGCTAATGTTGTTCACACAACATTTGCATATGAAACAATTATTATTCACAGTCGAGATTTGCGATAAAAAGGGCATTTGCTGCCTAACAGATTTAATAACGTATTTTAAAACTGGAAAATGTTAAAGGACTGAGCATTTGCTGGAGTGCATCAGTAAAAAGTCCTTTTTTATGTGACCCAGTGTGCTGCACCAGAGGCAGTTGTCTTGAGTATCCCAAATTCAAGTCTCATTCTCTGCCCACACATGAAACAAGCCTGATTTCCATGGCAACGTTATCCTTTTCACAGCCCTAGTACAAGTACAGAAGGAGACTATCAGGATGCACAAGTACTGTGTTCTCCACTGAGCATGGACATGGGAAACGAGCACAGCAGGACCCAACAACTCTAATACTTAGGTTAATCCTTCTGGGAAGCAAATGTTTACACGTAACAAAACAAAATACAACAACTCTGTAGTTCTTCAGTATGCAGGTTTGATCATTACATTACGTTAGGCTCTTTCTCAGCTCTTAAAGAATAAAATCGTCTAGAGAAAGGAGGTTGACAGGGTTCAGGTGCCACTTTCTCTCTGGCTCCACACCTTCTGGTCAGCACTTGACCCCTCTTTAGTTATCTCATGCAGAAACGCCTTTAGGCCCGTGTCACGTGTTCCTCTCACACTTCATTTCCTATAGAGGAAGCCCCTGGGGATGTGAAAGATGAAAGGGATGTAATGTTTATTATGAAACATGATGCTACATGTATTATAGCTATCATGAGGGTATGTAACAAGGCAAAGATGATTACTTTTCTGCCTATACTTATTAAATCCACTCCTTTCCACAGAGGAGGAGGAGGAGGAGGAGATGTTAGATGAGCACAGCATGTCTCCTCATATTACCATTTAGCCTTCTAAACTATGGGCTTGAGTGCACAGTTGCTTTTAGATGGGTGTACATTTGGTTCGCTGAATTAGACGAATAACAGGATTGAAACTGTATTGAAACTCTGAGTGAAACATTATTATTATTTTAAATATAAAGTGTATTAATATAAAGTGTCAAATAACTGAGCTATTCTTACTAATTAGGTTAGTCACTGAATTTCATTTACCTGTAAACATTTTGTCCACACAGTTTTTTGGCAATTATGTTAGGTGTTCATGTAATTGCTTACTTTTTGTGGTGCATTGTTTGTGTGTGTGTGTGTGTGTGTGTGTGCATTTGTTTATGTGTATTTGTGTGTTAGTAGGTACAGTATATACGCTTATGTGACCACTTCATTTATTGTCTCCACTGTTGTGCAGTGGTCATCACAATACAGATGTAACCCTGTTCATTAAGCGCCTTACTCCTGGGTCATACACAGAGCCAGACAGAAAGACAGATACACACAGATAAATGTGTGTGCTGTTCACTAAGCAGAAGAAGTGGAAGTAACAGTGAACATTCTGGAGCAGAGGGTGACTTTAACAAAAGTCTGCCTGAAAATAAATTATAGTAATAATTAATAAAAACTAAACCCGCAGTTGTGGAATTAAACTAGAAAAACACAGGTAGTAGCTGTGGTGTTACTGTATTATAATGAGAGCTGATTAAGTACATGTTCTGACTCTGGCTGTCTCCGAGTCACCATTGCCAGGAGCGTCTAGTATAATCCCTGTGTGAAACTGTCTGTCTGGTTGGCTTGCTGCCTCTCAGAAGTGCGGTGTGAGAGAGTGTGTGTACTGCAAGTCTCTCTGCCTGCATGTGTGGGTGAAAAGTCTGAGTGTGCGTGCACAGTTGTCAGTGTCTTTCATTGCGCATGAATGTATCTGTGCAAGCCTTTGTATGGCTATCCAACTCCATGTTGTGTGTTTGTGTCCTTTAAATCAACATGAGAAGTGCTTAGCTTAATGGGCCTCAAAACCTGCTGACTCACTAACCTTTTGCATTGATGCAGACAGAGAAAATGTACACACAGCGGACAAGAGAGAGAGAGATGTGGGAGAGAGAAGTGAGATATGTAGGAGAGAGAAAGCTGTTTCTGTGAGAGAGAAAGAAAGTGGAGGTGAGAAAGTGAAACAGTGTGTAAGCACAATAAATAGATGTGTATGTGGAAATGTCCGAATTCTGGGGCTTGTTTCCTGTACCAGACGCACTGTTACCATGGAAACTTGCTGATGATCCAGTAGGGGAAGCAATATGGCTGAAGAGTTCATCTTTGGAATGACATTTTTGACACAAATATATTTTTGACAACATTTTTGTTGCGGGGTGGTGTTTCCCCACTGCATTTCCCAGGAATTATCTGTCAGTTAAACAACAGAGACTGTGATTTCTTTCCCCTGGATTTAGTTTCTTTGTCTGTTTACCCATTCTGACCATTGCTGCTCATTGCTGAGTGCTCAGTTCTTTGTTTTATTTCAGTCTATAAATGTGAAAGAAATCACTTCCTGTGCTGTGTTTAAGAACATCACCTCAATGCATCATCATGTGATTGAAGCCATATGGGCTATAATTTCATACAGGTCTTCTCCACCTACACACCTCCATAAAAGGCCAGTGTTACAGCTTTCACAGCGCTGCAGTTGGATAAAAACCTTGAGGTCTCAACAAACATCTCCTGAGTTTTAGCTCTGCTTTAGATTTGACAGCCACAAGGTTTCACATGTTTTGTTTTCCTGTGATTGCTACAGCAGGATCCATGAAACATGAAAATAAGTTAACATTTGTAAATCATGAAATTACATATTTCATGTCCTTTTCTTGCAGAATCAGCAAAGGAGGAAAGCGCTACAAAAGTCTAAGTCTGTTTACCACAAAGAATGAACAGTGGGAAATATTCAGTTCTATCAAACTCTGCCCCTGTCTGCCTTTTGTGAAACATCTCATTACTGAAATGCTTATTCTTAAACAAATAAAAGTTTTGCATATAGATCATGTTGTTGAGTCTCAGAAACCTGGACCAGTATCACTTTAGTGGTCTTATCACTCATGGCACACATATACCTACAGCCACACATTCACTCCAGCAACTCATGAGATTCACTTCCTTCCTTGCATGTAGATTTCAGATCTGATCAATTCATCATTTATCTTTCTTTGCATTTCTCCCTCTCATGTTTATGTCATTGTTGAAATTGGACTCATGAATTCAGCTCTGGCATTGCTGCTGCTATGCACATTATTTTGGCGGACAGTGAATATCTTTGGTGACTAATAATTTGAATAAACTTTGCGTCATTTTTTCTATTCTACTTTCTCCCTCTGTCCTTTCCTTCATTCCTTTCTCCTTTCCTCCCTTCTCTTCTATCCATTTAGGAAACAGTGGAATATGCCTTCCTGATCATTTTCACTGTAGAGACATTTCTGAAGATCATTGCCTATGGCCTGGTCATGCACCAAAACTCATACGTCAGAAACGGCTGGAATATGCTGGACTTTGTCATCGTTATAGTGGGGTGAGTTCACATACTGTAATGCATATGAAAACACACTCAAAGACATGAACACAGTGACAGTGAGACTATTTCTCAAACATACTTTGGCTTAAACCACACAGTACGTTTACATGCACACGTTTATCATGCTCATGTGCAGTGACAAGACGACAGCGATGTTGGGGCACGTGTGGATACACACACACACACACACACACACACACACACACATACAGACATACTGTACATGGCCTTGTTTAGAGTGACCTGGCCCCAGTAGGACACAACCAGGGCTCATGACTTTGTTCTCTGCTTTCGTGACAACTTCATCACTGTCTTTGACACCCTACCCCTGCTTTTCCTTCTCTTTCAAACCTCTGTCTCTCTCACCCATATCCTTTGTTTCCTCTTCAGGTTGTTCAGTGTGGTTCTGGAGATGATAACCAAAGATGCTGACTCTGGTGGCCAGTCTGGAGGCAAACCAGGGGGGTTTGACGTCAAGGCCCTCCGAGCCTTCCGCGTGCTACGACCCCTTCGCCTTGTTTCTGGAGTTCCGAGTGAGTTAACACAGAGCTGTTATTAGAGCTCTAAACTATTTTAAGCAAGTCAAGTCACAAGTCCTCGGTTTTCACTTAAAGCCATTTTAAGTGTTTATATCTAGTGTGCAGATACACAGAGTGGAGGCAGTGAGATATCTGTGTCATCTTAAAAAGAAGTGAATAGGGTGCTCGCATATGATGTCACATCACTGTGTTGTAGTTTGAACTGCACCCTGGAGGGCAGGAAGTAATTTTTTACATAGGCAGCACTATCACAAGCTGTCAATACAGTGTGTGCCTATACAGTAGTGTGCGTAATTTACAGCTGATCAAACTAATTACACCGGCAAAGTAGGAGAAGCTTTTAAGTTGTTCATAAGGGGATAAAATGGAAGAAAATGATGATACACGCTGGTATTATGTCAAAGTGTGTACCCCTGTTGAGATGTCTCCCTCCTGTTAAAACTCTTTTGCATAGTGCCCCCCTCAGTGGTTAGGGCTAGGATAAGGTTAGGTCTGGGTCATGTTACTAGGGGGAACACATTCTTCCGTAACACTGACAAAATTGGCATGGCCCTTCACCAAAAGCAGACCATGCTGGCTATTCTGCTACACATTCTACAAGAAGCACCAAAACCAGCAGGAGTGGCAAAATATAAGTCATTTTACAGTATATCCAATAAATGGTGACATCCTTGAAGAAAAGTAAAATTACCTATAATTCAATTGTAGTTTTTTCCAAGCTTCACAGGTGGCATTTTAAATTTGGGGAACCCTGGGTATGCATGTGCATTTCTATGTTCCCTCTGACCTTGGCTTCTGTGTATGTTTGCAGGTTTGCAGGTGGTCTTAAACTCCATTATTAAAGCCATGGTTCCCCTGCTTCACATTGCTCTGCTAGTTCTCTTCGTCATTATCATCTACGCCATCATTGGCCTGGAGCTCTTCATTGGCAAAATGCATGCTACATGCTATGTGATAAAAACAGGTAAGGTGGTGTGGAGACTTGTATTTTGATGCCTCAGCTGGTTTTAATTTTATTTTCTTGTCTGATTTTTGCCTAGTGAACTGTCAGAGACTGTGAGAATATTAAACCCTTGTTAAATTGAGTCCCATAGCCAACCTACAGTATGAGCAGACATATTTATATCAGTTTAAGATGATGTAGGATTTAATCCCTGAGAATGAATGAACACATGTACCTTGTTTGTGAATGGTGACAAGCTGCTGAAAACATGACAAAGGAACAGCTGGTGGTTTAAAATACAGGGATAAAATGACTAATATCTGGCTATTCTGTCAACACACCTGACCTTTGCTCCAGCATTGCTGCTGTTGTGTTAGAATTATTCAAAAAGTGAATGCATACACAAGCATAAAACCACAGTCATATTCCAAAATGGCTGACTTACACCAGAAAAGCAGCTCACATGGAGTCACAGGGACTAGTGGGCTATACAGGAATATGACAGCAGTTTTCATGGAGTGTTACTTTCTCAATCTGATCTCTTCCTCTCTGTTTTGAATCACTGTAAGTCGAGAGGTCAGGACATAGTGAGTGCTGAGGTCCATGTGCTTGGTGATACATATTAAATAAGTGTGTATGCTTATCTTACCTGGGTTTAATTCAGTTTTGAGTTTTTGTTTGCCTTTATTATGCAAATCATAGATTCAGCTCTCCATCTCCATACTCCACAGGTGCCCTTGCGGAAGAAGAACCCACGCCGTGTGCAGTGTCAGGGCATGGTCGTCATTGCCTGCTCAATGGTACAGTTTGCAGAGAGGGCTGGCAAGGTCCCAACAATGGCATCACCAACTTTGACAACTTTTTGTTTGCCATGCTCACTGTGTTCCAGTGCATCACCATGGAGGGTTGGACTGATGTTCTCTACTGGGTAATCTGCCCCTCTGCATCACAATTACTCCAGTAAAGCCAAAATGGGGCAGTATATTTTTGGTTTGTTAATCCATATACACCAATCAGCCATAACACTGTGATCATCTGCCTAACACTTTGTACACAGGAGTCAATGTGGCAGTTGGTCGGCACTCGTGTCACTCTGCAGCTCACTGTGCATCGTCAGTGAATCAGTTTGCTTTCATAATTCTACTGTCAGGAAGAGCACAACTGTGTCGACCTTTCAGTGGAAACATTTGTGTAAAAGGAGTGAAACCTGTGGTCGTGAGGACAAGTTAGAGATGAATGTTTAGATAAATCCAAAAACCTCCTCACTCTAGATTTGATATCACCACTATATCCTTTGAATGTTTCTCTTCATAGAGACCAGTGTATATTATTTCTCATTTCATCCATTTTAACATAGAATCAAACAAACAAAATCTTTTGAAAAGGATGATTGAAACTTAAAAGTTTAATCTACAGTAGGTCGACCTCATCATCAGTGACCCTCGGGCATCCATGACCCTGTCCCAGTTCATTGTTTGTCCTTAGACACCATTGGTCGGTACTAACGACTGCAGACTGGGAACAAGACCCTCGGTCAGGGAGACGCTCTGACCCAGTTGTCAGACATCACAGTTTGACCCTTCACTCAGTCTGCAAAAACCCAGTTGTGTAATTATAAATGAACAAATTGCTACTGTCTCTTTGTATTAAAAGGCACTTTTAGTGTGGTCACTGGTCACAGCCACCTTACCATTATCTACATTATCTCCTGGATACCCCCTCTCCCTCAGTACTAACCCAGTTGTCTCTCACATAGTGACCTCTAGTGGTCACAGTTCTTGCTCCAGTTGTAGCTGCAGTTGAGACCTGAAGAGCTCCTTTGCTCTGAAGGACATACAAGCTTTGAGCTGCCTCAGGTCCATTCAGTTTTATTTAAAATCCAATACTTTTGGAGTACACAATTATGAAACACAAAATATACATTTATCAGGTTTAAAAGGTCTGATCCTGTTTTCTTCTTCTCTGCTTTGTGTTTCCATGTAGATGAATGATGCAATGGGCTTTGAGCTGCCCTGGGTTTACTTTGTTAGCTTAGTCATCTTTGGATCCTTCTTTGTTCTCAACTTAGTTTTAGGTGTGCTGAGCGGGTGAGTTTTGAGCATGCTTATGTTTTTGTGCACTTGTGTGTTGTGCTTTTACCAATGTGCTGCTGTTTTTCATTTTTCTGTAATGGATGACTTTCATGACTTTTGTTTTGCTAAACTGAACAAATTTATAGCAAACACTAAGAACTTTTTTTGCAGACAGTACTAGATAGGGTTCAGTACACTTTTATTTTTCAAACCACATAAATATTAGTTCTACTGATAAGCAGGTTTAGAAAATTTATAGATTGACCTGTTCTGATGCTATAGTGTTATGTGACCCAGGTTTGATGGTGATAATGCTCTGCCCTGTCCAGAGAGTTTTCCAAAGAGAGAGAGAAGGCCAAGGCTCGGGGAGACTTCCAGAAGCTACGGGAGAAGCAGCAGTTAGAGGAAGACCTAAAGGGCTACCTGGACTGGATCACCCAGGCTGAAGACATCGATCCTGAGAACGAGGAGGAGGGAGATGAGGAGAGCAAACGTAACCGTGAGTTACCTGGATTAAATTCATAATGTGCCTTTGTCCTTGCCTAATGCAGGAAAACAAACAATGTTAACAGAACCAAACCTTAACTCTGCCTTTGATTTAATTAATGTTACACACCTCTCTACCCCATCAGTAATGAAAGAAGAGCATTAAAAAATGTCACCCTACAAAGATACAGTCAACATTCAATAAAATCTTTTTGATCACTGTCGTGTACACTTTGTACAGTTTGATACAACATGTCATCTTCTACAAGAGGGAATCAACCAAAAAAACAGCTATTGTACATGAGACATTCACCATCTAAAAGAGGCTAACTTGTTATCTGGCAAAAAGATTGTTACTAAGTGAAGTGCATGCTGGGTTAGTATTACTGTAGTCCTCTGAAGATATGTTCTGTTTTGCCTGCTATCTTACAATGCCTTTGTATTTTACATAGCTGCCACTAAGTAGATCAAGGATAGAATTATTTACTTCAGTGTGTATTTTCTGTTTGTTCACATTATGTGTAAATGCTACACACATGCATACTGATGTATACATTGTACATCAATGTATTACAGGTGTAGATGCTCATGATTTATGATCAGTGCAGGTTAGAGCAGTTGTCATCCCATTCTATGGAACACTGTAGTAGGAGACTGTAGCACTACAAAATAGTGCCCTTCCATTATTTTGTTTTTGGATTAGTACAAAGCCTGAGAGGGGGACATAGTAAAGAATCAATGGTTAAAAAAATAAAAATGTGAGACCTTGGCAAGATCTTGCTAATTACTTTTGCGAGATCTCACAAAATCAACCACCATTTTTTGTTTCCTCCTATGTCCCCTCCCGGGCTCCGTAAATAAGTGCAAAACTCTTCTTGTGGTGGCAACACTGTGGTGAAAACTATGACCGATAAATTTCTTTCTGTTTTAAAAGATTCTACAATATACTGTACAACATGTAGAACAAATTCTTCTTTTTTGTAACAGCGCTTGTCGTCCTTGGGCCCTTCTATTTCTTGTGGAAAACCTCTCCATTTGGCTGCTTCCTCCAGCTCAGTGCGGTGTTGTCACTCACTCCCTTGTCCCTCAGGATCTGTTTGAGCTGATACACAACACTGCAACATTATCCTTTACAAAGAGAAAAAGTTTACTAAACAGATTCCTGTGCAGCTTTTCCTCATTTAGTCTTTTTTAGGAGCACTCTGCCTCATACATACAACCACCGGCCACTTTAATAGTCACACCTGTACAATTGAGGTCATCGTTAAAGGTGGTGTTGTACTGTACTACATTATATTCAGAGGTGTGTCTATATTTTTATCCTTCCGAGCTACATACACGAGAAGGTCAGAATAGTAGGAACAGCTATGAATTGCATTGAAGTGCATATCATTGTACAGGTGTACCTAATAAAGTGGCTGGTGAGTGTATATAGCTATATTTATGTTTCCAGTTTAGTTAGTGCTCCTGTATTTGCACTTATTACATTATTAATTTTACACTATTGGTCAATACACTTGTTACAGTAATAATGACATAGATGTTCACACTGCTTTTAGCATATGTATGCTGCTCTTAGGACTCATTTGATTATTTTATTTTTGGATAAAATTGCAAAGGCAAAAAATGAAATACCTGTTTCAAGATATTTTCCATTAGAGCAGGGTCATTCATATTCAGTGAGGGGCTGTTTCTCACCACACTCAGTTTTATTACTTGCTTTATCATGATGAATGTAAAAAAAGAAAAAAAAAAACCTTAATTGCGAGTTTAAAATTTTGTGGTTGTATAATAATTGATATCATGTCATCAATTTGAATATTAAAAAAGAAAAATGTGGTAGTTACACTTTCTGTTTTAGCTATTTTATGATATCTTAGGTTAGCATGGACCTCTGCTGTTACTGTTTTATTGCTAGTTGTTTACTGTTACGTCTGTCGTCATGGCATCAGTGAGGCCAGCACGCCAATAACACAAACCTATCATCTGCAGTTAAACAACACCGCATGTTAACTTTCCAAAACAATTCATGAAAATGATCAACATGGTTCATTTTTGTCAAATTCTATTTTGAGACATTTCGTTAATCACGGGTTTCCACTCACCGTGACTGTAGCAAATAAATGCTCTCTTCTCATCACAGTTCCAGTCCTCCCAATAGTTGGAGTCGCTAAGGTCTACACACACACACAGTACTCATATCTGAAGTTGTTATTAGGGTCCCCTGAACTTTGTTTCCAGTAACTAAATGAGAATTTACTTCCATCTGACCACTTCCACGAGTCTCTGAAAAGGCCAATCCAGACGGTTTGTCCTGACGGTACCAGATCTTTTATCTTTTGGTTCTCTGTCATGTTTCTCACAATGGCCAGGTCTGTATGGTGGACTCTGCAGTACGTCTGGGCCTCATTCCATGTCATGGTGGTGGTGGTGATAAAGAAAAATGTGCCATTCAGCCCTGAAAGTAAACCACAGTGAAGCGCTATATTGAGCACTAACTACAGTTCTGCATGATTAACATACGATATATCTGTCTGCACATGAACGTTTGACTGATACGGTGATGAGGGCATGTTTTTAAGTCCACCATAGTGATGGGTCTCCATTGTGTTTATGTTGTTACATTTGCACTGTGGCTTTGACTGCCCTCTAGAATAATAAAGTTGGTGAAATAAAAAAGGACCACAGAAGACCATGAAGAGCCACAGCCACCGTGTCTGTCTCAAAATTGTCAGACTGAGTTTAATTTGAATGTGTATGTGAGTTGAAAGAGGGTTATGTTATTATGATATTAATTCAGGTCTCTAGTAAAAATTCTCACCTCTGACATCTAAGCAGACAGCTGGAAGCGTGTTTTCACAGTTGTAATCAAGCCATTGTCCAGTATTGTCTATGGCAGCACATTTTTCTTTATTCTGGTAATTGTCCGGTTGATCGGGTGCCCAGTTCCTGAACTTATCCTCCCCCTCACTGAAGAATCCTCCATCTGCCAGCGACCACCTCCAGCTGTTGATGTCGTCATACAACCCTATCCAGGCTCGCTGAAAGCAACAGCATAATAATATAACCCCAGTAAACATTTGATAACCCTTTTTTAAATCAAAAATCAATTGATTACATTTTCTTACTATTCTTTTTTTCTGCCTATCAGTTTGACTTAGGTTGCTGTCAGAATTGTTTTGATAATATGAAAAGTAGAGGAAAATTTAGAATCACATAGTAGCTGGATCGCAACTGGCTTAAATTGGCCATGTTTTTCAATATGTTCATATCCTCCATGTTGTCTATAGTGGCCAGGTCTGTGTAGTGTTCTCTGCAGTATCTCTGTGCTTCAGCCATGGTCACTTGGTCGTAAATGAAGTGGTACCGATGGGAACTTTCAGAGGATACAGCATAGAGCCCTGCAGTGACAGAAATTATAGTTGACATTGTAACATTACATTTCACCTTTTTCCTTTGCATGTAAAACTAATTCAAATATAGGTGAAAGCCCTTGGTGGAGGTAGAAATGGCAAAAGTATTCCCAACAGTGAATAAAGGCCTATTTTTGAAGAAAGGCATAGAGTTGTCAATGGTTTATTAATCAATATGGGGACTAAACTTTTAGTTGCTTTTTCAGACAGACCCACGACCATTGTTTTAGCAGGACCTTTAGACACCCTGATGTCCCCAGATGTCTCAGCTCAGCCAGTGTGAATATCGTGAACATAAATAAATCCATAAATAAATCCAGCTTTATACACTGCTCAAAAAAATAAAGGGAACACAAGGGAAAATAAGACATTCAACTATGTAATGAACAAGGTATTTAATAAGAATATTTCATTCATTCAGATATAGGATGCCTTATGTTGTGTTCCCTTTATTTTTTTTAGCAGTATACATCAATTAGTAGAAGCATACTGTGAAACTGAAGTATGTCAATGGTGGAACCATATAGACAAATATAAAACATACTGTACCTGCTGTAGCCATGATGAATAGAATAACTATTTCCATCTTCATTTGCTCTGGCTTAGTGATGATTTTCCAGTTCCTCTGACACTGCACAGTGAACTGAACGTCTTTTATGATCATACAAACTGGTTCTGCAGAGTAATTTGCATTTTTGGCAAATACTTTACATTGCATGATTTTTACATTATGACACCCCAATACTGTGTGTTTGTTCAGGAATTTCCCTTTTTCATATCCATAGTTTATTTTGTTTGCCCCACAGTGACTACAATCTGTATTCAATATATCATTATTTACAGGAATTCAACGCCACATTGAATATTTATTCTTTATTTCAAGATAGCAATGTGTAGCTACATGCTGCTATACTACCCATACCTACTGTACCACTGGGCATTTAAACATTTAAAGAGATGCTAAAAAATAGATGTGCAGTAAGCCTATTACTGGTGTTACAAATACAGATAACAGGCTTTCTCCAGGCAACATCTGTTCCCACTGCATATCTGTAACTGGAAGAAAAAGCTGCTTGTCTGAGAATGAACAAGAAGCTCATTTTAATAGCAAAACTTTTGCTCAGGTTTTTCTTGCTCATTTTGTTTTTTATGTGATTCAATTTTTTTAAGCTGTGGGTGAAATTCAAACAAAAGAGGGAAATGTGTCTTAATTAGATTAATGGGATAGCTAATGCTTCATTTGAGCCTCAGTAAAACTTTGGAGCACATCTTTGCAGAGAACGAGAGCTGTGTATTTTGCCCCTTACTTTTACAGTGCTGTGGTGTTATGGGTAAAAATCTTCAGGGTTGCTGTGAAGAGAAGGAAAAGTTACAGCAAATAGGGTAGGAAAGAACTTTATTGATCCCACAGTGGGGACATTCCAGTCCTAAATAAGTCATATTCTCACATACACCTATCCTTTAACACTTGAGAAAGCAAAATCAACTAACTAGTGGATGCCTGCGTGTGCCAGTGGGTAGGTGCAGAAGTCATTTTGGATGTGCGGGGACATGAACTGTGGATGTAAATCAGCCCATCTGCTCCTTTTAAAAACATGTTTGTCGTGCACCTTGTTGTGAGCTGCTGATGGTGTAACAGTCTATGCGCAAGTCTCTTGTTTGTGCCTGTAATGATGTTTGATGGCAGCCTACCTCTCGTCTTAACAGTGCTGCAGCGCTTTAAAATCATTGACTGTGCACTTGGTGCACCTCTCACTGTAGTTGCCCTGCTTTTTTTTGTTATAGACAAGATATCCAAGACAACACACTAACCTTTTATCCTTGATTCCTGCAGTGTCCGTGTGCCTTGTAAAAAAAAAAAAAGTATATAATGGCTGCTAACATTAGTTTTTCCCACTCCTTCTCCTCTTTCTTTCCTTTTTCTTCTTCTCTTGTTGCAAACAGTTGTTCTCCTTCTCTGCCTTCCATCTTCTGTTTTCTCACTGAAGTCTCGTTTACTGTTGACTCCTCCCAGTCTAATAGTGTTTTATATAGTTACTCTGTCCAGAAATCATAAAGCTAACATTAATATTTGACAGAATTTTCTAAAATGTATTTCTTAAAGCACCAGTGGGACATTTTACAGTTGGTGTTCTCAGGTGAACACTGTAATGGCTGCATTGTTTCACAACTGCCTCAAACATATTCTTGACAGTTTCTGTACTGCAGTTTCTTATCTGCTGCGGCAATAATTAATACATGCTGGCCTTGCTGATAATATTGTACTGTACAGTACAGTATGTACTGCTACCATACATCAGTTAGCAAATATTGAGCAAAATGTCTGCAAACTGCTCTGAGCTTTTGTTCTCATGTCAGCATTTGAATTTAAGAAAATCTATGTTCATCCTTTTTTGTAACTTTTCATTAGTTTCGTATGTACAAATTATTGCAAATACTAAACATTAGCCCATTTACTGTCTCTTTCCTGTCCCAGTTGCCTTTGTGCTGTAAGCAAATATAATGGATGAATTTCCTGTTTGATGAATTTACTTTGATTCAGTAGCTAGTCTGTTGCAGAAAGAGGATATGTTCTGACTCCTGTACACTTGTTAACTAGCTTTTCTGGACATGGTAGCTGTGTTAGTAGTTTGTATTGCAGCTGTTTCTTGCTGTACATTCCTCTCTCTCTCTCTCTTGTTCTGCAATGTATTGACTCACTGCTTCCTCTGCTGTCTGGCTGTGTGAACTGCATGTTGGTATCCACAAGGGGTCACGCTGGCTGACCTCACTGAGAAGAAGAAAGGAAAGTTTGGCTGGTTCACTCAGTCCACAGAGACACAGGGTAAATGTGTTTGTGTGTGCATGAGTGTCTGGGCATGTGTGCTGTCTTGTGCAAGCTCAGTCAGTCTTTGTCCTGCATGCATGTGCTTTGCTTATCCTTTTGTATTTGCATGCACCTTATATATTTGACCTGATCCTTATCATAAGCAAATTCATGTCATGGCATGGCATTTTTCTCTACCAGCAAAGCTGAACAGCTAGTGAAATCAATCAACACTTTGTATGGTAGCACAGAAATGAAAGGAAATGAGAAAAAACTCTTCTTTGTATTAGGAAGCAATCACGTTTATCAGAAATGTTGCTGTTAATGTGAGAAAGAATAACACTAAAAATTACAATACCACCCACACAAAAGAGAGATCACCATTCATCTTGAGCATTCTGTCACATTAATGATACAGAAGCACATGCTGTACATTCAAATTGTTAAAAATACAGTATAAAAATGGTTTTTGAAATCTGACCAAAAATTAAAGAAAGATATACGAGATTGCAATCAGTATCACAAAATTTGAATGCACACTACTGTTGCTATACATAACTGGTAGGTCTCGAGTGAAAAGCCATAACATTATACATTTCATTATCACAAAATCTGATATTTTGTCACAAGACCTGCTTGACATGCTGCACTTCAAAAGCATTTTTAACATTTTGACTGGGATATGAAACTTTTTGGCAAGTTAATTTTGCTCTTGCCTTGGTTTAGTATGGTATTTTCAGTTATTCTCATAATCATGTTTGAATCACGGGTTAACTATACACAAAAATGCCAGTTTTCAGCTCCTTCATGCAATCATCATCATCATTTTGAATTCCTTTCATTTTTCATTTAAGACAATACTTTATGCATGTACAGTATATAAAATATACTGTGTGTTGTAACCCTGTGATTATGTAAATAATACTTGTTTCTGCAAACAGACCTGGACCAAATAGTTTGATCACATATTTGAGCTAGACATCGCAGTCAGTACTGAACAGATTTGACACACTGGATACTTGTAAGCTCTTTTATACGAGTAATTACTATATATTTGTACTCTGACAGGTTTCCAACTGGTTATGTACAAAGTCCAATTTGACTCAGGTCTGGCAGCATGTATTCACTGTGACTTGAACTTTTTCAGTGTTCAAACAGAACAGCTGGTTTCTCCAAGATCCAGTGGATAAAATTGGATGTTGTTAGTCTCCATTTTGTAAAAGTAAAACATTCTGGAATTAAGAAAAGGCTGACTGAATTTCATTCCTTAGTGTCAAACTATGAGAAGTCATTCTGACATTTTCTATCTGACATGTGCATTGTTCAGTTTTTGCTTTAGCTTTATGGGGGTTTGGCTTGGCCTTTTAACCACATGCAACATGAGATAAAATTTCAGCTGACAGAAAAAGGAAAAGTCTCTTAACAGCTAAGATCTAAAAAATATGTTTATTTTGTGTTGAAAGTGTATGATAGCCGTCTTTATTGTAGTATTTTTTTGGTCAAATGTTTGATTCTTAGAGAGTTGATTCCGGCAGTTCTTTTAATAGGTTTTTACTGTAATAAAAAATAAAAAACATTTGACTTAAAGCATTACATCAGCCTACAACCAAGCCAAACCGAAATGCATGGTTGTCAAGATTAAAATCTATCGGAGTGTGACTTTTATTGGTGAAACCTGTTCCCTTCAGGACTGTTTACATACTAAAATGTGTTGTTAATTTACATTACTTTGTGTGTATGTGTGTGTGATGCCACAGCGAGCATACCAACTAGTGAGACAGTGTCTGTGAACACAGACACTCAACCTGGAGAGGATGACAGTTCACCCTGCTGTGGGCCGCTGGGGTGAGTGTGAGATTCATGAGTCGGACGTTTACAGTCCTCTATCAACTTATGATGAACTAGTAGAAAGAGGTTTGCAATTTTTTTTAAGGACACTTTGACCAGGTAAATGACAAAAAAGGCAAATCATCACACACACACACACACACACACACACACACACACACACACAGAACACCATAGTACTTGTTTTCCCCTTTTTTAAAAGTTGCCTGTGTTTTATTCTCCTCAGTCAAAAAATTACTAAGTCAAAGTGCAGGTTAGTACCTCGGTATGACGCTGCATGGTAGATGTGTCTTCACTCATCAGTGTGATTTAATTCCTTTTGCATGGCTGCTTTTAGTCTCATATTTGAATTACTTTGGTTCCTAATGTGCTCATCTGTGTTTATGTTCATTTGAAGTTTTTGCAGTTGATCCACTGTCATGTTTTATTTCAGATTAACCAATTACTGTTTGTATCCTGAGCTCGCCACAGTTTCATCATTGTTTTTCTCTTTTTGCAACCAAAATCCAGTCTTCCTTATAATCTGTAGCTTCCTGGTGATGTTGTGCTATCATTTTACTTCACTACATGTTTAATTGCATATGTGTCTGAGGTCTGAAGAGTTAATTACAGACGTTTTGATGTTTCATACAAATTATTTAACTCTGGCTGTAATTTGACTGTATGAATCCTGATCATTGATCCTGAAGTGGAACTTTTTCTCTGTCAGTCGTCAGTGGCGGCGGTGGAACCGTTTTTGCCGCAGAAAGTGTCGTGCCGCTGTGAAATCAGTGACATTTTATTGGCTGGTCATCATCTTGGTGTTCCTCAACACGCTCACCATCGCCTCTGAGCACTACAACCAGCCAGACTGGCTGACTGAAGTGCAGGGTATCTATTTTGTGCTTTTGGAAATAATGCATTTCGGTCAGTTTGTTTGACAACATTATAAAGGTCCCGTTCTGTCCTCTCCTCTTCAGATGTAGCCAACAAAGTTCTCCTGGCGATGTTTACCTTGGAGATGCTGGTGAAGATGTACAGTTTGGGGCTGCAGGCCTACTTTGTGTCTCTGTTTAACCGCTTTGACTGTTTTGTGGTGTGTGGGGGCATCGTAGAGACCATCCTGGTGGAGCTGGCCATCATGTCTCCTTTGGGCATCTCTGTTTTCCGCTGTGTACGCCTCCTTAGGATCTTCAAGGTTACACGGTGAGCAACAGAAAGTTATGTGATGAGATGGCTTAAATGTTTCAGACCCTATGTTTTCCCATTCTTTTGAGTAAAAAGGCTATTGCATGATTCAACAAGGTATTACAATAAACACCCAAGATTGTAAAACTACTTTTTAAGATACATTTCAGGCTTTGTTCTTTTTTTATTCTTTTGAATAAAACAGGGGAAAAACATTCTATATTCAGTTTTCTATTGTTCAATAAGCAAGCCATCAGTGAAACTCATTCAGAAGTGTAATGCTTTCTTTTGCTGTCAACGGGGATATTCCACTGAGAAGATAAAGCATATGTAAACCTATTAAGAGAGCATTAGGTTTGTAGCCAGAAGGTGCAGTAGCTTTGGAGGAGACAGGGTTCAGTTCTCTCAGGGACAGAGTTTGGTTATTGTTATGATCTGTTTGTTGTAAAGGAACACTATAATAATAATAATAATAATAATACAATCCACACAACATTCTCCACTGTGTTCTGTGGAAGAGTTTCTAATGTGAGTAGCTAGATGTATAATGGTCTGAATATGGTCTTCATATTTTGTCTACCAATATTATCATTTCCATATTTGCACCTCACACCCAGGTCCTTGCTTGTCTGGTTCAGTGTGTCTGTCCTTATATTAACATGTTTTATATTTTTCTTCTTCAGCCATTGGGCATCTCTTAGTAACCTGGTGGCCTCTCTGCTCAACTCCATGAAGTCTATCGCCTCCCTGTTGCTGCTGCTCTTCCTCTTCATCATTATTTTCTCCCTGCTTGGCATGCAGCTTTTTGGGGGCAAATTCAACTTTGATGAGACTATGACCAAAAGGAGCACATTTGATAACTTCCCCCAGGCCCTACTCACTGTGTTCCAAGTGAGGTTTTTGTTTTTTTTGCAGATCATGTTTATATAATTTGCATTTATACAATCAAAGTGATTTTATTCAATAGTAGACACATCTTTGAAATATTGATTTACAGAAACATGATAAATGTAAAGTGACTTCTTC